TAACAATAATAACATTATTCATGGAATATATGAAAATAAAAGTTTTGTTATAAAGGAAAAAACTAAGTAAACATAACGTATAATATGTAGTATTTGGTCTATGAAATAAAATTTCAAACAGGTCTCTGATGAATGTTATTGATGGATTGTGCTCTCATGCCCCAATAAGAAGCTTTTAAAATTAGAGGAATAAACACACATCAATTCTTGTTCAATTCTGTGAATTTTAAAATGATTTGTGGATTTCAGATTTCTGCCACGCTTTGACCGAATCTTTGCATTAGTTTCAAAAATGTCCTTCCAGTTCATCCTAATCCCTCCAGTCCTCCATGTGGCATCCTGCTATCAGAGCACGTACTGTCATTAGGCCTTTATGTTTCTACATGCCTGTGGATTTTGCGTTATGTAATTCTATAGCTGTAAGAGGAAGGAATACCTCGGCATGTTGCCGTGACTTGGTCTAATGTAACTGTTTAGCCTGTGTGGACATCCGGGCTGAAGTCAAATCCATGATGTCTGTTGTTGTCGGTGGTGAGAGATAGCACGTGTGTGTGTGCATGTTTGTCAGAAGACTTGCGCTACATTTTCAGTGGCGTGTGTGTGGGTAGAAACTGATGTGGCAGGCGGTATCTCTGTTTACGGAGGTCAAAGCGCGTAACACACATGGAGATATTGTTTTGTGACGGTGTATGAGAGCATGGTGCCATGACCTCACCTCCTCCTCAGGGATGTGGGGGTGTGTATGTGTGTGTCTGTGGGGGGAGGAGGGGGCTGCTGACAGCTCTCCTTGACTTCGTCATGCTCCTATCATTCTTGTGGCACATGCAAACCCTCCGTCTGTTTCTGTGGTCCCTTCATCTGCCGCTTCCAGCGTCATCTCGTCCGCATGCCCAACGCCTCTGGAAAAACAAAAAAGGAGAGGAAAGGGAAGAAAAACACAAAGCGTGCCATGACCTCACATAACCTGATCATCACTCTTTCATTTTGCACTGAAATACAGTATATCTACCTTCTAATTCCACAATTGTCTTTCTGTATGTCGAACACTTATCATGCAAACCATTCATCTATAGACTTCATACTTGGCATGTAAAGATTTGGAAAGGTGATATGTTCAATATTTTAAATAACTTGATGTAAACGACCAAATATGAATGACTGGGCATGTGTTGGTTTGTTTTTTTCTGTTTTATTACGTCTGAAGAAGTCACCTTGGCTGCATCACTGTTAACCCTGACTCCACTTCACCCACGCACCCCTCCATCGGCATGGTGGTGAGTAGATAATTGAGTGAGTTATCATTTTTCTGGTGAACTATCCCTTTAACACAAGACAAGCACACAGACAGGTTTAGAATGGACACGTCACTAGTTAATAATTAATAGGTTACCAAAGCTGAAAAGTCAAGAATGAACCTTAACAAGACTGTATTTGTTTTTAAACCATCTAAAACTGGCCTGTGAATAAACATCAGATATTTTGACTCAACTCAAAAAGTGAAATAAAAAAATGGATTATGACATCAATGCCTTTCAGTGGGCTGTTGCTGTGAGTTGATACCAGGATGCTGAAAATGGCTCACCTCATTGGAATGCGGTTATTTTTGATCAGTCATTGACCCTGTTATACCAGTGCTTTCTCTGGTATGACAAACCATAAATGTCATAAATGTTGATCGCTATAAATAATCTTATAATTAATGTTTTTTCAAACACAATAACGATATGTGCTTGTGTTTCTTCATATTCTTATATGACTAAAGCTGTGTTATACTGTATTTATTTGTCATTTTACACCAGTTTGAACATTAAAAAGTTTTAATATTTGACAAATAAACACTTGAGTACTCATAATCTGGTACTAACATTTAAATAAGTCATAACACACTCCTTGTAACTTTTAAATAGGAAGATTAAAATAGTAGTTTCTTTTCAATTTTGAGCCAAATATTAGACTTTGTATTTAATATAATTATTTGTACTGCTAAATTTGTTCTTGTTGCATGTTAAAGACCAGCTTCTAGGTACACTGTCTTTTACCGTGTCGCATGTGATGGGATTTGACTTCACAGTCTTAGCTTACAGTCTTCTTCTCAATTTGTTTCTTTTTTTCCTGTTCCCTCTTCTTTTTTATCTTACCGCAATCTGTGTCACATTCTTTCGCTTCTCTCATTTCCCCCTCTGATATGTTCACACCTACTGCAGCAGAAAACAAACACACACACACACCCACTGTGATACATCAACATTTGCAAGGGAACCAAATTGTGTATGATGTCAACTGAACTCTCATATACCTCCTTGCAAAACCACTGATGTTAAAGTCACATATGGTAAATGTCTTGGTTTCAGGGTTTTTTTTAACATATGAGAGGTCTGGATTGTTTTTTTTGCCTTTTGTGTCTTTATGTCTATGTCCCACATGTGCTGCTTGGACACTTTTATGTTCTGACAAGAAAAAATGTGGAGCAAAAACTTTTATTAACGTAAAGAATCCACAATATGAAGTGCTGGCTCCTTCACCCAAAAACAATGACTGTCAAAAATCTGCTGTAGTGGAAACCTCCCTACGTGCCCTTCTCTCGCTCTTATTGGCCAGTAGGAGGTGCTGACACAACTGTACACTGAGGCCAGTGCTGGAATGTGAGGAGGGCAGGTGGAGTATGTTTCTGTTGTGTAATGGCACATTTCTGCATAGACAGATGAGAAAACAGAGGTAGGAGGGGCCATGGTGATATCACACACTGAGGGGGGGGTATAAGAAGACGTCCTGGTAGGGACATGAACACAAAACACCTGTTGCTGCTCTCCTGCCTCAACACACAAGACCTTTCAGACTTGTCTGCATCTCCTGGAGAGTTTGAACTTACAGCTGCTAAATTTCCACATCTGAACGTCCAACATCGAGGATGGTGATGGATTCCTTTGTGTGCAAGACCCTGCTGACTTCAATCATCATCTGCATGGCTCTGCAACATGGTGAGAGACTTGTCTTATTGCTTTAGACTGTTTTTTTTAAAGCAGCTGTGACTACATTGTCATTTTTTGTTGATGAAATTGAATTGAATCCAACTAAAACTTGCTTTCAAATGTATATATTTCGTTTGTTTGTATAAAGAATAAAAAACAGAGCAATGATTCATTATCAACATTAAAGGATATCAAACTTTAAAATGCTTTCACACCATGAACTAAATTATTTAATTTGACAATCTGCAGGAAGATTAGATGCAATATTGGAGCTGGCCTCAGTGTTCTAGTTACTTTAATAAGTAACCCAAGTTTTATTACAGAATTATCACTTTCTTACCACAGGATTTTTACTACAACCACCTTGAACTTGCAGGATTGTTTGACTTGGGTTAAGTTCCTTGACTTTTATGATAAATAGGTTCCAGAGTAATCACAGCCACATTTGTTTGAGCCACACTGATGGGTGTTAGCTCGCAAAGTGAGTTTGTGCGACAAACCCGAACTGCACAGTCATAAAGCAAAAGATTAGTTGGCGCTTTTTAATCTCTGGATCCTTTGTGTTTTTCTAGGTTGTGGACACCCCTTATCAGAGCGGGCAGAGTTGCCAGCTCAGGCTTCACATTCACAGCATGTCAGGACCAAACGCTGCTCCTGTAACAGCTGGGATGATAAAGAATGCATCTACTTCTGCCACCTGGATATTATCTGGGTCAACACGCCAAGGTGAGGCTGATGATTGACTCAGACCCTCACCCTGCCCCTAACCCAACCTCGACCTTAACACCCAGCAGCAACCAGGGATTATTTATAAACCAATCCCTGATTTCTACACCCTCTCAGCAGAGTTGTTGCTAATACGTTTCATCTTCCTTTACAGTAAACTCCTTCCTTATGGTTTGGGAAGTCCCCCGTCTCGCCGCCGCCGCCGTTCAGCCGACCGTTGCGGATGCAGTAACTCCTTGGATAAAACTTGCACCAGTTTCTGTCATAACAGGTGAGCCCTCTTCCCTCTCAACTTATCTTTTTCTATCCACCAAGACCTACACCACAGTGAATCCTCCCCATCACGTAGCCTCCTTTGGATGCTAGATATTATCACTGTAGATTTTGTGTCTCCCTCCACTGTCAGTCAACAAGCCTGAGTATGTTGTTGTAGAGGACGAGTCAGTGAGGAGGCAGAAGTGATTCAGTCTGTGATAATGGTACAACAGTATGAGGGTAGCAGTCACAGCGGAGGGAATGGCCCGCATTTCCCTAATAGCCTTTAAAGAAATCGCACTTGTTTATTAACACAGTTGCTATTTTAGAAATGTTTAGAATGTTTGTTACGTCCTGACAGTCACTGCCATAAAACTGCCAGAATGGATTAGTCACCATCTCCAGATCTTATCCTCGGTGGCGGTTTGTGAGGCACGCCCTGCATTTCTGCCCATAAAGCATCTAAAAATATATTAGCTTGGAATTCAAAGGAAATTGTTCAGGCAACCCTTAACTAATTTTGCTTCAAGTAACACGATAATGCAAGACAGAACCCACATTAATTCCCTGAGGAACTTGGAGGGTTATGTCCTTGTTTTAATGCTGCTGTTCTATCTGTCCACAGCTCTCAGAACCCAAGCACTGATGTTTTGGGCTCCTCAGGAAAATCTGGAAACATACACAGCAACACAATGCTGCAATCTTTCAGGTGAATGAAAAATAATTTACAGATGTACCTTTAAATCCATATGTTTGGTGGCCATTTTATAGATGTGACAAACCTCTCACCTATAATCTTTTTTTTTTCCCTGCAGATCTGTGGTCAAGTCCAACACTGCCTTTGCAAAAAACACTCTGTCGTCAAACAAGAGGTTGGCTTTAATCAAGATGCTCAAGGGCAGAACGAAGAGATAGAGGACTGAAAGTAAAACCAAAGGAGGTTTAATTGCTGTGGATTCAAAATCATTGGCAAGGGACTCCTCCAGCAGCCTTCAGTACAGGCACCAGGGTTCTACGACATTTCGAGACTCTTACCTGAAGGCACGGGAAGCACACGGATCAAGCATCTGATTAACAAAATAGTGCTATCCTTAAGATAGAAATCAAGTTCTTTGGCAGGAGCAATGCTGGGTGGAGGCGTTAAGAGTCATTTCTTGAACTCTGCTTGAACATTTCCAAACCTAATAACGATCTAACTGTCAAGGAAGGATCTGTCAAAACCAATGACATTGGAACTGACTTTGGGACAATTGAGCAGCCACATCAAGAAAAAGCTTCAGTGACCAAATGGGGACCAGTTGTTTGGTTACTCTGGACAAAGCTCTGGTTTGACTCATCTTTAAGGATAGTTTTAGATCCAGAACTCATCTGCACTGAGGATTATAGGATCACTACAAATTCCAGAGCTGTATAAACTGTATTTACCATTTTCCAAATTTACTCAAATGTCTTTGAAACTATTTATTCACTCTTCATTGCTGACCTTTGGTTTGGTTTAATATTCCTCTGTATCAGAGCAGAAATCTGCTGTCCTGCCTATTGTTTATGGCAAATTAGCCAGTAGCTTTTTAATTATGAAGCTTACTTGAAGGTGTCATCTTGAACACTGCCACGGTGAACTGAAGGCCACAACTTTGGGATTTACTTAACAATCAGCTTTATATTAGGTCTAGTAGGACGATTGTGTTGGTTCAAGTGCTTACTGCATAGCTCCTCTTTATTGTTCTGATTGAAGATTAGTTTCACTCATGTGCTGCCTGTAAAAAAACAGTTTTTCTCCCTCTGACCAATTCCCACTTACCTTCTCTGCTTTGGCTCTGTGTCCATTGACTCCATCTGTTTGACCTCAGAGAGCAGGAAGTGATACACATGGACATGTAACTCATGTAACTCATCCTCAGCGCAGTGCTGGATCCTTCACCAGCTTAAAGTTTACTGTTGAATGCTCAACGATTTGATTTATTTATTCTCTAAGTTATTCCAACATGTATTTATATTTGTATGAATGATCTGCTGAATTGTGTATGAGAAAATAAAAGTGAAAGAAAATATTCTTGGGCCGAATTGGGTTTTCATTATTTGATTTATGCCATTTTAATTGTTGTCACTTATCTTCATTTACAAATGGCATGAAATGTGTGAATTATCATTTGAACTTTTCCAATACTGATGAGTGCTCACTTGTTTTATTTTTGTATAAAATACAGAATTTCCTCTGGGAACATGCGTATGCACCCAGACTGTACAAAGCATGTGACTGGGTCATAAACATGGGTCATAAAAGCCTAATGAATGCTGGACAGTAATAAAAGAAATAAAGTAATAAAAGTTTGGGTGTAGCAGCCGTCACCAGAGACTTAATAAAGGGAACAATACAAATGGAAACAGATTGACGAAGACTGGAAGCTGCTGTAATGACGAGGATGTAAGTGAAGTTTTGAAAGCGAAACAGAGCAGGGAGAGGGAAGGGTTACAGGGGTGACCAGGGGTTTAACTTAGTTTCCAGTTCCCATCATGCAACATCATAGTTCCATCAAGTGTGCAGCTGTATCCATGCAGTTGTCCTGAGTAGAAGAGGTCTAAGAATTTGTTCAAGTTCACTTTAATATATGTTACCACGCCTATTGAGCAGTGGTATATCAACCTCATTTCACAGTTTCACTCAAATTGATCCAGGCTGTGGGGTTGCGCTGGAAGGAGATGAGCAGAAATGTGCAACGTATTAGAGTATGGATACCCAACAAGAGCCTGTCGGGAGGCAGGGCTGGTTCGGAGGCAAAGTTTTAAATGGAAGACATGGTAACATAAAGTCTACACCATCAGGCTCAGGTCGGGTCCGGACAGAAAAACAGAATACCTGTTGAGGTCAGATCAGGCTTGGTTAGTTTTGTCTTGGGCTTAAGAATAATTTATCTGAGAGATGAAAAGTATTGGGAGTATAAAGCTATCTCAGAACTATTGCCAGGTGATGCAATATGTATTGTGACATGATGCAAAAGTCTCTAATGAATAAATACATGTAGTTGTTGCTTAAGTCCAAAGTGTAACTTCATGAACAATGGTCTACTCAGTGCCAGACTGCATTTCCTGGTAGAGTTTTTGTGCATTATAAATGATGTTCAGGGATTAGACCCTCCTGCAAGTTGCCCTCCATAAAACCCTTATAAGCCCTCACTGTGCAGACAGAGGGCAGGGATGTCTACTTTGAAGTTGTGCTTAACATTTAACTACTGAACGGGCCCACATTGAACCTGCAAAGAGTAGTGTGAGCAAAATAAAGAGATATATGCGGTTACTACACCGAGAAAGTCTTTGTCTGTAGTGTAACGTGCGGTGCTTATCTCCTGGTGGTGGGTTGTCTGTCCCCTTGTCGCTCCACAGGCCGATGTTTACTTTAGATAGTCTGTTGTGCGAGAGAAACATGAGCTCAGAAAATGTTTACTAAGGAGGATGTTGGAGACTGTTGGCCTCCTAGTATCTGCGGGATGTCCTTGGTTATAGGTGAAGTGTTTAAGGAATGACAGACAATAAAAATGAGTGTTGTATTAGCACTATTCAAACTTAATCACATCTTTACAAGATGCTTCATTGCTCGCGTTTCTGTGAAGAAAACATGACCAGCTCTCGAGCTGGAGTAGAAGCAAAGGGATGACATAGAAACTGGGCCAGTTTGACTGCAAGAACAACATGCACCTGCGTCTCCATTAGCCTCATGTGGTGATTTCCTAGTTATTTACCCTGACGTCAGTATGAACTCTCAGACCCCCCCCAGCGTGCACTACAGAGTGTGAATAGCTGACTCAATGAGTGGAATGAAAACAGGATGCTTTTTCTGCATTCCTGCTGAATTCCGAGGGAAAGAAACACAGGAAAAACAGGAGCATGTCTGCTGTTTGCTCAGGGAACTGATATGGGCTGGATGGAGGAATGAGATTGCAACCTTAATCACACCGTTGTCATAACACAAGCTGCATTGTTTTGCTTTGTTTTAGTCTTTATATGTTGTCGGTGCCCTGACTGTTTTTTCTCCTCTAGATCTGGTTTCTGATAAACCATGATTATGTGATTGAAGCGGTTTGTGAGAGGCTCCCTGCTGTCCCACTGGTGCAGTTGTGTCTTGTTTTTGAAATGTATATAATAATTATAACAATATGAACTGTATTTGTACAGCACTTATCTAAACTAAGTTACAAAGTGCTTCGCAAAAAAAATCCATGGCAAGAAGAAGAAGACTGAATTATGATAAAAGGTATTCACTTCAGTTAAAACGTGTTTGGGCCACCTTGGTGTCATCAGGTGTTTCAGCCTATCAATCACAATAACATTGAAATAGGCTAAAGGTCAATCTGTCTATATGTGACAGAACAGCTTGTTTCATGATTTCACAATTTAACTGTAAAACAATTTCATCAATACATTTCAACAGTAGTTGACAAAAATACATTTTAAATTTTTAATGACTGAGTGATACTTTGCGTCTGGATTTTTTTCAACCTACTTTTTGGTATCTTTAACCCAATAATTACATTTTATAAATGTTTGAGTAAAAGAAATAAATGAACAAAGCATCATGCTGGGTCAAACCCATCAACCTTGCTGGGCTTTAATAAATGCTGGATTGGTTCCTATTTTATGAAAGAATAAAAAAAGAAGAAAGGCAACATAAAGAACTTCCCTTGTATTGATTATATATTGTCGTTGTAAAGATGGATGACAGCTCCTCAAAAGTGAAGCCAAAGCTTGGGCTTTATAGCCCCCTAGTGGCTGACTGCAGTATAGGTTCTTAACCCTGGATTCATGTTGACGATGGGACATGGACCAATATATAAACTCACCGGACATTTTACAGACATTTTCCTCAAAGAAGTTCCTGTCATTTTAGGAAATGTTCTCATCAAACATGTATGTTAAAGATGATTGACAACTGCTACCGCAGCTCCTTTCCCTGGTCACAGTGCAGGCTCTGGCTCATAATGCACAAAATGGCATTTCTGTATACAAGATATTTCTGGATAATGGGTGAAAGTGTAGAGGTGTCACCCATCTAGCCTACGCATGATCGCATGAAATATTTTCGTAAAACTATGTTTTACTAAATATAGTCACAAATGCATAAATCATGTATGGAATTACAAATC